CAACTTGCTTCTCCAAGTTTTGTACTTTCATTGTTTGTGTCTTGAGCTGGTCCTGCAGCTCGGTGATCAAGCAACCGCGTTGTTCGTGATCTCGCAACATCGAAACCATCTCATCCCTCAAGTTGTCCATCATGCCTGCGACACGCTCTGCCAACATTGTCAGCAGAGAGCGGCCGCAGCGGCACCTCTGGCAAAGCTGTGGGCCAAAAGTGCCTGGAGACATGGCATCTGCAAGATGCAAGCATTCTCAAGGCTACTGGTTGTCTGCTGCTTGGCAATGCCGAGCTTGCGGCCTGCGCCTCGTGCACTTCCTCCGTATCCAGGACCCTGCAGCAAAGCTCCTGCATTGATAATCGCTTGTTCATCATCGATATACGGCAGACTGCAAATGCACACACACACACACACAACACGTGTGGAAGAGTGGCATCCAGCAACCTCTCCACATACTATCCACTAACCTGCAACTGCTGCGCAGCAACGCTCCGTAGCAAGCACGAGTATGCGGTGCATCATGGGTATGACAGTATTGTGATGGTGCACAGGAATCTAGAGTAGACTCATCGTGCAAAACCATACGACCGAAAGACAAACAGTGTTCAAAATTGCTGTTGTGCAAGAGTGATGATGCTGATGCTACTTTGGAAGAGAATAGACATAGTCATTACATAAATGCGTGGGCGCGAACCAAGACAGCGGAGCATATTCGGGATAACAACAACCACGACAGAAAGCATAACAACGGACATTAAAACACATATATGTGTATTTGTGTGTGTATATATATATATGTATATATATATATATATGACACAATAGGATTGTGCAATCTATGCCTGATTTACGGCATGCGGGTCCATGGTTCGCAGCTGGCCACCGGGCATAGCGGAAGAGCTGGCCGACCTGAGATCCGCAATGAGGTTTTTTTGGGGTTTTGACTTTAGGGGTTTAGGATTCAGGCTTTAGGCTAAAGGACTGGGGGTTTAGAGTTGAGGAGTTTGGATGTGGGGGACGGGGCGGATGGGGGAGACTCCATCATCAAGTAGCCCTGATGTTTGCGGGCTTCCGATCTCGTCTGCCAGGTGTTCGAGTCGATATTCGATATTCCTCCCACTTGTTCGAAGCGATAGAATAATAATAAGGAGCCCCCAAAACCCTTTAGTAATTATTACGGCCGTTACATGAGGGGTATGGGGGCTTCTGAAGGCTTCAACTCCAGAGAATCTTAGCCGTGGCTCAGGCTGCAGGCCTTTCGGAGGCGCACCAAAGATCTTGCGGCAGGTCGAACATCGAGCTGAAACCCTCCCTCCCTCACACACAGATGGGAGTTTCCGAACATAAAGGGTACCATATAGTGGGGCCCTTATAATAAGGATCCTACTATTTGGGGTACTATATTAGGGCTCCCTATTTTCGGAAACCCGCAGATGGGAATTGGGCATGCTGACACCCCTAAACCCTAAACCCCTAAACCCTAAACCCCTAAAGCCCTAAACCCTACGGTTTAGGGTTTAGGGTTTATAGGGTTTACCCTAAACCCTAAACCCTAAATGAGATGCTCAGTCTGCAGCGGCGGCAGCAGTCGAAAGCCGCCGGAAGCGTCAATGGCCAAGGCCTCCTTCAAACAGTAGACCGGCTCTCGGAAGCCTACTACAGATACTATCGGGGCCTTAAAATTAGAATAGGGTTTTTGGGGTATATCATACTATAATTATGATAAGGACCCCCCCCCAAACAAACACAAATATATAGTGTTTGTAATTCTCAAGGCCGCTATACATTACACCCTAACCCTAATCCCAAACCCAGACCCCTCTCAAGCACTTGTCCTACGAGCTTGATCTACCCACAAAGATGGACTCCTCGAGGGCGGCATGACTCTTTGCATGGAATGCCACCTTGTCGACTGAGATTTTTCAGGGTTCCGGTGGAACCACCGGGTTCAAAACTTGGGACTCTACCAGGGTCCAAAAAGGGGCTTCGTAAGGGTTAAGGATTTAGGGTTCTAGGCTTGAGGTTTTGGGGGCTCAGCGCTTTAGGGCTTGGGACGTGTAGAGTTTGGGGGCCTGCTCTTTCCATCTGCGTGAAACCTCAGAGCTCTTTGGTGAAGGCCGCCATTGCGGTGTACTTTAGACCTGCAACTTTGATCGGAGTAAAGGACGTCCATCAAACCTTCTTGCTGGCTGCCTTTTGATTATTTTCGGCAAGACCTGTTCCACTTGGTTGGCATGGACGTCTGCTTATGAGCTCTCATTTCCAGTCGCAGCTTTTGGACCCTCCACCCCGTCTCGACGTTACATGTTGTGCGCAAATTTGGCTGCCTCAACAGATCTTGCAAAACCTGGTGTCACACTCTTGCACATGCTTCAACAAGCATCACACTGTTCTTAGCGCATAGCCGCATGCATAACGAATCGTTCCAGGACAACTTACTATTCCCAAGCATGTGCCCAGACTGCCGACTGAAGCGATCTAAGACCCTACAACAACCCATGGGCCCCTCGTCGGCATCCCAGTCAACTAGAGGCCTCGCCATTGAGGTAAGCTTTGGCGAATCGGTGCTCGGGCTGGGAGGATGATCCGCACCTTGGTTTCGAAGTGGAGTCGCGGTCACCCACAAGTCTCTAAGTTGCCCTCGTACTGTGCCCTGTGGCTCCCTAACATGGCTTACTAGGCGTGGGTAGACTGAAGGGCCCAGGCGAAGGAACCAGCAGGATTCAGAGCTCTGTGCTCTTCAGCCTGAGGCCCGAAACCTTGCCCGCTACTTCGCCTATGTTCGGCGAAACGTTCTGCGCAGATGCAAACCAAAAGAGTCTGGCGTCAGGAGCTTCCGAACAGCATTCTTCGGAATGCTAAGGTGCCCACCGAACGACAAGCGTGAGCAGATTCCACCTGCACTGCTGCTATAGTTCAGGCTACCAGGATGTAGCCCGAACGAAAGCAGGGTTGAAAATGTCCGGTGTCATCAAGCATCCCTTCGTTTGCAGGCACGCAGCAACCAGAATCTGTCACGAACGACATGAACCCAAATTCAGCACAATCTCCACCTCAACAGTTCCACCAAGGCTCTGAGACAAGACAGGCACTTGACAACACTTTGCACAGCATCGTGCAGTTTTCGGCTTGGCGTTCGAGGCTTTTGGGTTTAGGGCCTAGTAACTAGTATACGCCGCGCACCAGCAACACATTGAAAAATGAATGACTTTACCCTAAACTCCAAACCGACAGACCGCGAAAAGCAATCACCTCAAGCATCAACTTCAATATACTAACTGAGAAGTGCAAGTGATTCGCAGTGCTGAGCTGCATGCTGACCAGGCTTCACGACCTGTCACGAGGGATGCTCTCTGGATCTTGGTGACAACAAAGATAAATGTGGCAGTCTCTGTGTCTGCATATCTATCTATATATATATATACATATGCAACTCGTTGTCTAGTTATTTAGCAACATATTCACACATGCATGCTTTCAGGAGTTTTCGCACAGGTAGTACGATAAAAGGCAAAGAAATAATCGGGCACACACACACACACATATATATATACACACACACACACTCACACATGTGCATGTGTATATATATATACACATACAGATATACACGCACACACATGAGTATATACATGTATGTATGTATACACACATATGCATATCAGCTCACCTACAGTAAACCTCAAAAAGTTGGAAACCGGATTAAGGTCAAATAGTGCTGGGATTCCCCATACAATAGTCTTTAGGATTGAGGCTCTTGGGTTTCCAACTTTTGGGCTTCTACTGTATCTGTATATATAGATATACATACATGCATACATACATACATACACATACATACATACATACATACATACATACATACATACATACATACATACATACATACACACACACATGTTGTGTCGGCATGCAGAAGCATTCTGTCCAACACGAACAGACTCCAGTATAGTTTCTGCTGTCTGTCCTGCCAGTCACATTTCAACGGCGCCTCAGCCGCCGTCTCGCAGTCTGGTGGAGGCCACCACGACTTGTAGATTTCCTGTCGGTTGCCAAGGAGAGGGTTGAAGCTGATCAATGAGGTGGGTGGAAGCTTGCAGCTCATTTTTAGGACTTCAACCTTGAATTGGTGACAGGACTGGAACGTGAAGACATCCACAACCCTGAACAAAGAGGTCTGAACCTGAAGATCTGATCCTTTACATTCCTACACTGTCTCACGAATGAGGAAGCACAGAAACCCCCGAAACCTCAAACACCCGAATCCTCAAGATACTGCCGAGACCTACTCCCTCGGGCCGTAGAGGCCACGAAACCCAAGGCCCTGGACCCTGCTTGAACCCTCCACCGGCCCCAGGACGACCTTCCTACCTTCCTCGATACTTTCCTCTTACCTGAGACCCTGAACTTTTTACTCCGAAACCACCAGCTCCCAAACTCAACGCAATGTCGGCCTCATCTTCGTTCGCCTTTTCATCCTTCTGCTTCTCACCTCTCTGCACGGGAAGGCCGAAAAAAGGTAAGGAGGCAGGAAGCTACTGCGAGTATGGTGATGATTCAGCTCAAGACCATGAGTAACTTTCACGGTCTTTCTTTCCACCTCCAATTACGAGTGCTACTGCTGTTGCTGTTTCTCTTGCTACTGTTATCGTGCCTTCCTTGGCTTTCTCCTCGTCCTTCTTGACCTCTTCCTCGGGATGAAGTCCTGACATGAAGCGGAAGTCAAGTTAAGGTTTTAGGATTGGTAGGCTTTCAGTTTAGGTGCGTCTGTGTGTCTGCACGCGTTTGGATTCAAGACGGTTCGAGCTTGAGCTTGAAGCGAAACATTTTTGGCATGAGGCTTGCTTTATCGAGCAAATACTTCTAACGATTTTGGAATTCTCTGCTAGGCGGAGGGTTTTGACTAAACTCCAAAGCCCCGTTTTGATCTGCGGATGAATTTGTTCCGCGGGTCCAGAGGCTACTCGTTAGGATGGGATGCGCATGCGGAGCTCAGTTTGTGCGGTTTAGTCTTTAGCTTTCGAGGTCCTTTTCTCTTATAACTGGGATCTAAGAGCCTTTGAGATTGTGCAACAGCCGTACTTTTGAGCTATCAGAAAACCTACTACAGTAGTCTCCAGGGTCCGATGCTTCGCTCTGTCTGTATAAACGTATAGAGACTATATTAAACGATATGGGTAGTTCTCTAAATTAGGGCCCCCTTGTCGGGTCCTTTTCATAAGGGTGCCGTACTATATTGGGGATCTGAAAATGGACCCTCATTTAGACACCGACCCCATATGTTGAAAGACGGATATGCGCGCTGGTGCAAGTTGCGAGAAACAGGCGAGGCTGCCGGAAACCAGTTCAGAAACTACCCCTTTTTCTTCTCTGACCTGCATCTCGCTCTCGCTGCCCGTCCTGTGAACCAGGTCCCGACGGAGGGAAGCGTCCGAAAGTCGGGCTCACCCTCCTCGGTCTTGGCCGCATCTTTGTCGGCCGCCTCTTCCTGGGGATCAAATATACTATAAACTAATATAAAATAAAATACCAAATATTATATCATATGATCTTATACGGGCATGATCAGGTCTACAAAAGCTTGATAGCAATTGCAGGCCACCGTACAGCCCGGGACAAACCTCGAAGGTTCACACGTCTTAGCCTTGCGGGTGGACCTTCTCTTCCACAAGCTGCGGACCCCTTGTGTCTAGTCCTGGCCTTCTTTTCCTCCTTCTCCTCTGGCTCAGCGGGCGTTGTTGGGCGAGACTTGCTTTTCCTCGGTGTGACAGGCTTCCCAGAAGCAAAGGCTATGAACTGACACCAGCCGGTGCTAACTTTAACACAATCTTACATTCGGTCCTGCAGGTAGGTCGTAAACAAGGCGTTTCAAAGGCGACACACACACACATGCTCAATCCCAAACACACGGCTGGGGACCACTTCTATATAAGGGTCATGGCGTGTGCTACACCTGTTCACTTGATGAGCCTGGGCAGATGCTCTAATGGTTCAGACCAGCTGTTAACTTTGCCTACGCATTGCAATAAGTACCCTAAACCCTAAATCCTAAACCCTAAGCATTGCAATAAGCAGTTCATCATGAAATATCATGAACCCTAAAGCCCTAAACCCTAAGCCTTAACCCCTAACAGGGGCCCGGGCTTGGCCGCCTTCGCGGCGGCCTTCTTCTTTGCTAGGCGGTCCTTCTGAGCCTGGCATGCTTTCGAAAGCTGAAAGGACTGGCATCCCCTTTTTTGGGCGGGGCAGGTGGGTACAGATCGAATGAATGATGCATTGACATCATGCCCCTACTCTTGGCTGCTTACACTCCTCTACGGGTATCTAGCTCATTTAGAAGACTTGAGTTGTCTGGACCCCAGGGAGTTGCATCTTCGAGACTGCAGGGCTCCCAACGAAGCTCCCCGCAAATGCCTGAGCATTCTTTTCTTTCTCCTCCTTCTCCTGCCACGCTGGAGGAAGCAAGCACAATGAAGCACAATGACCGAAGCTCTGGCAGTACTGCCCTCACCCTGCAGCGCCTTCTCTTTGCGCTGCTTAAACTCCTCGTCACTCGACGAACGCAGAGCCAACTTCCCGTTGTGGAGGAGGACCTCGTGCTACAGCTGTGGCTGTGTTGCCATGTTCAACATCTGCTTTAACTCGAACCCTCCGCAAACCCAATGCCGGTACCCCAACGCCAGACACACATGGCCCCTTTGCCGTGGCCCGGGCGAGTTGGGCACTCGGCTCCCCCCACATGGCCTGCAGATCGTATGTGCGCGCTCATGTGTGTGTGTGTGTGTGTGATGATAAATAGCAATAGGAATAACAAGAACACCAAATAACAAGTATTGTTATTGCGATTGTTATGGTTCTAATTAAGTCTATCATAATACCTAGTATAATTATTGATACCAGTACAATGTTTAATCCTTACTTTCTTATTCGTAATTTGATTCCGATTATAACTGGTATTGTCTTGCTTATTTCTGTTATGATGATTGCTATCATTTTCTTATTTTTACTACTATGCATAATTAATGTTATTCTTCTGCTGCTTTTTGTTATATCTACATGTGTGTATATAAATATATATACACATGTATATACGCATGCACATAGTACATATACATATCGCACACATGAAATTGAATTTTATGTCTCCAAGTAAAATGTTTGCGTGCACACAGGAGTTTTGCAGAAATGCAGTCAGGCATCTCGGTCTCATCCTGACTTGGGGTTTCAACTTGTGACATCTTTGCAGTTTTCCGATGCGCCCTCGAGCCGTGTCCCTTGCGGGGTTTTCTTGCGAAATCCGCGCTTCCTATTTCCGCCGGCCTAAACCCGAAACCATACAAACCTAAACCCAAATCCCTGATTTGCACAGCGCCTCCTCGGCCCGAGGGAAGTCCAGGATGGCCGTCACTTGTCCCGGGTTCGGAGAGAAATCCTCGCGGGCGGGCCGAAAACTGCACCTAATCTCGGGGCCGTAATAATTAGAATGGGGGGTTTCCGTATTACTATAGTATATTTTAGTATCATATACCCCCTAAACCCTATTCTAATTATTAAGGCCCCTATGATACAACTGTCTCCAAAAGACTTTGAATAAACAAGTATCTACATGAACAAACAAGTGAAACGAACAAATGTATGTCGGTAGGTCTCTATGTGCAAGCAGGCATGCAGGAATGTAAGCATGCAGGTATGTAGGTGTGTTTATACACATATTGTTGATGATATAAACCCTGCATTACCTTAAGGACCCTAAACTATGGGAATTATGATATATTCCTTATTATGGGTAATGCAGGATTTATATCATCAACCGCATGTGTGTGTGTATATATATATATGTATGTGTGTGTATGTGCGTGGGTATGTGTATGTGTGTATGTGTGAGTGCGTATGCATGGGTATGCGCGTAGGTATATGTACATGCATAGATGTGTATACTTGCCTCTACATATACAAAACCTCGTCAAGCCTCGTGCGTTCGCATTTTTTTGCGTCGGGTCTGGCATTTAAACTGCTGTGCCGATCTGCCCTGCATACACACATAGGGACCTTGTATACATATATTTATATAGATAAGTATGTATGCATGCATGCATGCATGCATGTATGCACGCATACATGCACACATCCGCACACGCACATACCATGAATACATGCGTCTATAAAATTCTATAAATATGTACCACATTAATATACATCTCATATACATGCTATCCCAGCCCTTGCTCTAAAACTCTTTCTCATCCCAAACAGAGCGACATTAATATACATCTCATCACTCATATACATGCTATCCCAGCTTTGCTCTAAAACTCTTTCTCATCCCAACCAGAGCGGTACAGCCAGTACCCGTTGTACCGGACTTTTGCAAGATCCAAGAATCCACGATTGTTGGGAGGGCCTTCCGGGGCATTAAAATGCCAGCCTGGAGGGCAAGAGTCGAACAATTCAACATACATAGCTCTGGTCAGCTTGTGTCTTGGACAGCCTCGTGAAGTCCTTTGTGCTTACATATGTATGGTGTATGCATGTGTATACACGTGCATACATACGGAAAACCATAACCGATTACAGGAACATGCTAGCATGTTTCACTTGCTGGGTTGGGGGAAAAAGTTTCGTGGCGCATGACGTGCTGTGCCCTTGCACATTCGTGCGGCTCGGAACTTCAACTCGAGCTGGCTCCTCTATCCGACTCTATCCAACCCTCGCAATGACTCATGGCGCATATGGCGCCCTCCTCCTTGATGCCCTGCCTTCAAAAGTTCAGAAACCCTATTGCGAAACAGCTTCCCGAAGAACACGCACCATGCGAAGTCCGGCGGCATCTGAAAGAAGATGGTGAGGCTGTATTCCTGATCCAAGTCCAGCAGTGCACTTCAAACGTACTATATAGGGCATCGGGATTGGATTTGCTGCTAGCCCACCGCTGGATGTTACGGTTCTCGCAGCGAAAATTTGATTGGGCTGGGCCTGCCCTTTCCACGCACGGGCTTCGACTGCTGAGACGTGTGATGTCCTTTAGCGCCCAACTTCCCAGTGGCATCAAGAATTCCCAACTGTTCGGAAGCCGCCCCGCTACGATCCTTTCAAAATCATTTCAGCCGGCCTTTTCGATGGCAAGAAGCTTCTTGCACTTCATCGGTTCTCCGCTGTCATGCGAGTTTACGGGTAAGATCTTGTGGTGGTTATCACCCTGAAGCCAAGACCATGCAATGAATAGAAGGTCGGCGGCTGCACAGCCCACTTCGTGGCCAAACAGGCCCTGCAAGTCCAACAAGCACGTATTCTTCCCAAGACTTTGGAAAGCATGAATCGACGAGGCCCTCTTTTGGGATCATTCGCTCCAGAACCAATAGCAATCGAGATGACAAACAGTAAGTGTGCCAACGAAACCACATCATATCGATGCATACCTACTATGACACGATTTCTCCCAATCACCACCGGCAGACATAACATTCAATACACAAGTCATATCACAGATGTGACGAGGAGGAGTAGTAGTAGTAGTAGTAGTAGTAGCAGCAGCAGCAGCAGCAGCAGTAGCAGGAATAGAAGTAGTCGTGGTGGTGGTAGTAGTAGAGGCGAAGGAGGAGGAGCAACGGTACCAGTCTCACCCTGTCGGATAGAGCTGATCACAGCACTATGCATGACCCTCATCGAGATCAAGTGTGAGTGCTACCGGACTAGGCATAACCACCATTACACCTCGCTATTACTATCACCATCATGATCATCCTAAGCGCTGAGCCCTAGAGCAAAAAGCCCTAGGCGAATCCCACACCGATCAGGGCAACAAGAACAGGCCTCCAAGGCAGGTCGTAGCCCCCCTAGGCTGGCAAGGCCCACAGGGAGTGGCACCGAGAGCGAGCAGCCCGCCTCAGGAGCACCCACCCTCTCAGAAACATTGCAAACATATTGACATTTATTTACGAAACTCTCGTCTGCACCTAACATGGGGCTGACTGGGCTTCAACTTGGATTGTGGTCTTTGTGTACTAGACTAACTGCTGCTTATTCTTAAATAGAAAAACATGACACAGACTCTTGACTAGTAAGATGTCTCATCATATGAGACACAGACAACGATGAACTGCACGTAACAGTTGAGCCAACTGCCCAAATCCTAATGCGTAGTTATCGGAGCTTCTCCGGCAACATATGCAAAAACCTCAAAGATGTCTTCGCGGTTCTCGCCACACTCAGAAGGCAATCTCCTGTTTAGACTGGACCTCTTTACATGACTTCCTTTTCTGGCAATGAGACCAGTTTGGAAAGACATCAAGCAAGGAGTCTGCAGGAAACGGAGCCTGCAGGAGTTTGCAACTTGAAGACTAGGATCATCGTAAGTACGTCGTAAGTGGTAGTGAGCAAGTTTGTGAACCACCTTGGACTAATGTGCAAGCTTAGGCAATCTCTGTGGACAATTTTGCTGCTCGGACGCAGCATGGGTGGAAGCTTGCATTTAACGTAGCCTACATTGCTGGTACACTGGTTCCGTTCATGCGTCGTTTCCAGACACCTTGCAGGAACACGCTGGCACCCGTGCACTTTAGTCTCTGCTCAAGACGACCCCAGCGGCGGCTAGGCTTAGCTCAAAGTAAGAGTCATCATAGTCGCAATAACAGCCACAGCAATAAAACAATTCCGATGTAATTCTAAGTGTAGGTTCTAAGTAGGAAAGGCATGAGCCATGCAAATATTGCATATATATATGCAGCTTTTATCTGCTTCGATAATCTCGATGTATACATAGTCAGAAGACCAAACCCTGCGCCTGCAGGATGCAGCGCTTCCGCCCAGGAACCAGGGAGTCTGGGTCGATCTCGAAATCAAAACCTCTTCGCCGGGTCGGGGCCACATTTTGATGGGGTTTGGGAGCTTTGGGACGGTCTCGGGTTGTGTGGTTTATGTTGGCTACAGCAGGTCTTCTAGGGTCCAGGGGTGCAGATCTGACCTAACGCGGCAAAGGCTGGAAGAGGCTTGCAAGCGTCCGGCGCTGGTACAGCACAACTGATTGACGCAAAATGCTTACGGCACTAACATTGGACTCTTGACCATAAACGAGCTGCCCTGGCAACCGGTGCAGACACAATGCACGCGCGCCGAAGAAAAACGGAGGGCCTATTTGTTTGGGTCTTTTTTTTTTTTTGCTCGTTTTCCTGCCGCGTTTGCCTAGGAAACACTATATTCCTTACATTTAGGACGGCTGCGTGCCGGATTCGTAGGTCAGAAGGAGGCAAGACCGCAAGGAAACAAGGAAGGAAGAAAACAAGA